TAATATAAATTGCCGGTTCTGCTGCACAGAGGGATAATCCACTTAACGGTACATTCCAGTGGGAGGATCCCTCTCGTGCAGCAGTGCCTGATGGGAGAAATGCCCTGTACATTAAGTTTCCCATGTAGTCCACTCCTGTAATACCCCTGTGATGTGACTCAGGAAACCCCTTGCATGGGGATTTGTGTAAATTGTGGAGCCTGTGAATAAAGCCTCAGTTGACTCTTAGAACTGTGTTTCGTCCGGTTACTGGGAGATTTGGGATATTGCCTTGCTTTTCAGCGCTTGACTGTGGATTACCTTCTTAACCAGCGGAGATCGTGGGATTTAATATTGCCGCTCCGCTACAAAGGGCACTGACCGGCATGAGGTCAGATACCCTGTTAGTCTGATTGGTAAAGGGGAGAAGTGTGGCGAAACCAACCTCGCCACTGTACACTGGAGAAGCCTGGTTGCTCGCCTGCTCCCTTTAGACTATGGCCCTGCAGTTCAGACCTGTTATTTTCCCTTCTGAAAGGTTTATTCATGCCTTTCTGCCAGGGTGTTCAGTAGATTAAATCTACCGAACAAACTACCGAACGATGGACCACCTGGCAACTGGAGTGTGCCGTCAATTGACCGCCCAGAAGCTGCAGTTAACCGCAGCTTAATTGATGAACGCTGGGAGGCCTTTGTTCGGTTGACGAACACGTGGCAGCGGCCATTTTACCTCCCGAATGGCCAGCGGTGTTCAGCGCCTAAACTATGGAACTGAAAACGGACACTTAATTGCGCGAACACCGCTGAGCCACCAGCCTCCTTCCCTTCCCATTCGATAGCGGAACCGAATGACTGTTCATTCGGTAGTTTAACGGGATGAACAGCATCACCCAGATAGCTAAGCCATGGAGCCTGTTCATGTAATGAAAAGACTATGTGAAGGACTTTGGCTCCATGGCGATTGAACTGTATGTATGTGATCTGATTATTCGATAATAATGTGCGCTCAGATCTGAGCTATCTGGGGATATGTAGAACGTATATGTTTTATGTACTGAATGTAACTGTAGGTAATTTTATGTATTTTACTGTTTGTTTTCTGCCATGTGGTTAATGGAGTTTTGCCTCTGTCTTTGGAGATAATTGGATTACTTCCCAATTATCTCCAGGGCAGAGAGGAGGGATTGTGATGCATTGTGGGATGGTTGAAATGTGTAAGTCTGTGACTGGTCTGTAACGGACCGTTTTGCACAAAAGGGAAAAAAACCGCTTAGACGATAATCCCCTTTCAGAGACAGGCACAGCTACTGTAGAATCACCAAAACTCACGAACTGAATACAAGTGAATGCTCCAAACTCCCGAACGGCATACAAGGGAATGCTCCAAACACTCAAACTGCATACAAGGGAATGGTCCAAACACTCGAACTGCCCCAATTCCCTGCTGTATCTGCCGCTGGAGTTTCTCCCAACGTGCCAACTGACCTTCTCTTTCTGCCCGTTGTTGCAGCCTCTCGAACACTAGGTTCCTCACAAACCGCACTGATCTCTCCAGTGGGTTGCATCCGAAGAAGCTTAGGTGAAACCACACCATCCGGTCATACTCTCTCATAGAGTAGCTGTACTCCACTGCTGGTTCCATCCTGTTGCTGTCAGGGTCGCTGTACTAGGACATGCGTTGCCCTTAACTTGTAAATCCAAAGAAATGGTGTCTCCTGTAGCTGTCCTTCTGTGGGAACGATCCCGCCGCTTGCCACCAATTGTAACGGACCGTTTTGCACAAAAGGGAAAAAAAACGCTTAGACGATAATCCCCTTTCAGAGACAGGCACAGCTACTGTAGAATCACCAAAACTCTCGAACTGAATACAAGTGAATGCTCCAAACTCCCGAACGGCATACAAGGGAATGCTCCAAACACTCGAACTGCATACAAGGGAATGGTCCAAACACTCGAACTGCATACAAGTGAATGCTCCAAACTCTCGAACTGCATACAAGTGAATGCTCCAAACTCTCGAACTGCATACAAGTGAATGCTCCAAACTCCCGAACGGCATACAAGGTGTTACGACACGTACCGTCGGGTAGATGAAGCCGCCGTTTAGGCAATAATCCCCTTCTCCAGAAATGCAGTTTAAATCCAGCCGATCGCCAAACTCCCGAACGAAGTCCACAAACACGGCAACTCCCGATCAGCCAAACAGTCGAACGCCTTCCACAGCTAGAAATAACGAAAGCGCTGTCCCAGTAATAATTCCCCCACAAACGAGACCAAGCTCCGTCTTGAGGGTCAAATGAAGTTCTGTTTAATGGGGCTACCTGCCCGGTATTTATGCAGGTCTCCACAAGGTGGACACTCCCCGAGGGGACCTTGTGGAAGACTGTAAAACATATTGGACAGTAGCCAATCGCAGTGGCTTCAATAATAGCCCTTCCCATCTGGCCCATAATTCCGTCTTCTCTACCTCGGAGATAATTGGGAAGAAACCTAATTATCTCTCAAGGTAGAGACAATCGCCATCTTGAAATACAATAACAAAAATACATTAAAATACATAACGACAGAAATACCGAATGCATATGGTTCGTGTAACGTATCCCCAGACAGCCTGGATCTGAGGGCATGTTTTCACCGAACAGCGCTCAGATCCGATGTATCTAGTCGAATCGCCATGGAGTCAAAGTCTTTCACCAGTCCTTCGGTATACGAATGACTCCATGGGATGGCTGTCGGGGTAAAAGTCCATACGAATGAATAAAACTCCTGAACGACCGACGTTCGCATGCCTTGTCGAAAAGGAAGGTAGGCAGCAGCTTTTCAGCGGTGTTCGGTAGTTTAAGTGTCCGTTTTTAGTTCCATACAGTTTGTACCGAACACCGCTCTGTGTTCGTATGTCCCAAAATGGCCGCTGCCTCGTGGTCGACATGCGAACGACGACCACCCATACGAATGGAATGGAGAGGTGTCTGCGGTTAACCACAACGTTCTAATTGGGGCCAAGAGGTTAACCAGCAGCACACTCCTCTCCTGGGTGGTCGTTCGTTCGGTAGTTTCAATCGGCATTTTGCAAATTACACGAACGGGGGTATATGAACAGGCAATTCCGCGAACAAAGGGAAACAGACGAACCAACAATGCAGATGAATCTGTCACACAAGGGAATAAGATAGCACTCCAAATACACGAACAGGAACCATACGAATTGCTGCTACCAGACGAACAGGAAAAGCTCCCAAGCGGCTTACACTCCTGGCAATCAGTCCTTAGCAGCATACAGTAAATCCCCCCAAAGACGAGACAAGGCTCCGTGTTGAGGGTCAAGCAGTGGTCTGTTTAATGAGGGCTACCTGCCCAGTATTTATGCAGGTCTCCCACCTGGTGGACACTCCCCTAGGGGACCAAATGGGAGACTGTGACAAAAGACAGACAAGTAGACAAATAGGACACACAGTCACAATATATTCCCACAATGCATCCTGGCTTCCTCCCCTCTGCCCTGGGAGATAATTGGGAAGTAATTAAATTATCTCCCAAGACAAAGGCAAAACTCCATTACACATGTGGGGATACAAAACCAGTATTATACTTTAAAATACATAAAGTAACATTTATTACATAAAACACAGACATGTAACATATCCCCAGATAGCTCAGGTCTGAGCGCACATTATTAAGGTGAATGGCGCTCAGACCACACGAATACAGTTTAATCGCCATGGAGCCAAAGTCTTTACAGTCAGTTTCATACGAATGGGCTCCATGGGATTCCTATCTGGGGTATAACACATTCAAACAAATCTACCGAACCCAAGGCAGAAAAGTACGAATGAAGCTTTTCTGCAGGTAAAAAAGATGTCTTTTAACAGGGGGCCATAGTCCAAAGGCAGCAGGCGAGCAACCAGGCTTCTCCAATGCAATGTGGCGAGATTGGTCTCGTCACATGGTCCTTTTACCCTTTATGTCCCAGTCTCCCATTTGGTCCCCTAGGGGAGTGTCCACCAGGTGGGAGACCTGCATAAAAGCCGGGCAGTTAGCCCCAGTAAATCAGTTCCTGCTTAACCCTCAAAGTGAAGTGTCGTCTCATTACTGGGGGGAGGATTTATTGTATGCTGTTAGAGACTGATTGCCAGGAGTGTAAGCCGCTTGGGGGCTTTTCCTGTTCGTCTGCTAGCAGCTATTCGTGTGTCTCCAGTTCGGGAGTTTGGAGTGCTACTTGGTATGCAGTTCAGGGGTTTCGAGTATTCCCTTGGTTGCAGTTCGGGAGTTGGTGAATTCGTGGGTTTGCAGTTCGGGAGATTGGTGCTTGCAGTAGCTGTCTGTGCAGCTGAAAGAGGGGAATATCGCCAAAAAGGTTTTTAACCTCTTGTGGGCAAAACGGTCTGTTACAGAGAGCTAAAAGTAGATATACCAAAACCTCTCTCAACATCCTTGGATTAGCGTTGAGCATTCGTGCATTAGTTCTCAGTATCCATGCGTTAATTCTCATTATCCGTTGTGATAAAGTGAAGGCAGATAGGCCTTTTAACCCCAGGGGGAGTATGTGTAGGATGTGTTGTAGGCAACACAAAACACTGTTTAGTTATGGGCCCCTGGGGTGGAGCATTTGGAGAGAAGGGTGGGCCAATGCTCCACTCCACAGTTTAGTGGTGTTCTGGGGAGACCTAGATCCAGGCCAGGGTTTTTGGACTGTCTCCAACCCACTGCTCAGCTGCAGGTAATCAGCTGTTGCAGTGGGAATAAACTCCTCCCGGCTAGGCATGAAAAGGAGAGGGATTGCTGGCTTCCTCCCAGGAAGCAGGTAGGAGAGAGGCTGTTCTCTCCATATAGAGGCACTGGGAGTGCAGAAAGGAAGCAGTTAAGGCTGGCTTGGAGCACTGGGAGTGCTGGAGGAAGCAGTCAAGGCTGGCTTGGAGCACTAGGAGTGCAGAAAGGAAAGCAGTCAGGGCAAGGCTGGCTTGGAGCACTGGGAGTGCAGAAAGGAACGCAACAGGCTAGCCAGCAAAGTGTTGCTAACTAATAAGGTTGGTGCCATATGTTTTGTTAGTTTAACCCTGATAGAGATAGGGAACCTAATGTCAGTTAGTGCTCAGACGAGCCAGGTTTTTGTTTATAGGGTTTTCAGTTACTTTTGTTTTCATTTAACTGCTGTATCCTGTGTGAACTTACAAATAAAGTGCCTGAAGTATTTGCAACTACAAGGACTGTGCATGTTTTTGCCCTAGAGGACCGTGCTACCTGGTGACAAGGATCACACCGTGCATTAATTCTCATTATCCATGCATTCATTCTCATTATCCGTGCATTAGTTCTCAGTATCCATACACCAATTCTCAGGATCCAAATGTTAATACTCCTTATCCGAGTTTTAATTCTCAGTATCCGTGCATTAATTCTCAGTATCCATACATTAATTCTCAGTATCTGTGCATTAATTCTCAATATCCATACACCAGTTCTCAGGATCCGCATGTTGATACTCCTTATCCGAGTGTTAATTCTCAGTATCTTAACACTAATTCTCAATATGCATACATTCATTCTCAGTATCTGTACATTCATTCTCAGTATCCATACATCAATTTTCAGGATCCGCATTAATACTCCTTATCCGCGTGTTAATTCTCAGTGTCTATAAGCTAATTCTTAATTTCCATAGATCAATTCTCAATATCTATTTGTTAGTTCTCAGAATCCATACATGTAGGCCATATATAAAGCAAGAAGGATATCAATTAATTTAAAACATATTTTAATACATAAAACATGTTGTACTATAAAAACAGCAGTATCCTGTGTTCTCATTTTTGGGCCCTGTCTAGCTGTCCTGTCTTTGTTCCCTAATGTCCCACTTTTGGGGGCACCAGGAAACTGTCGCCGACAAGCATAGTGCGAGGGCATCATTAGTCTCATGGCACAAGGACCCAGCAGAGGGCACTGAAGCAGTGCTCTTTGCATGGTCTGCTGTCAGTGGGCCAGCCTGGATGACTGACATGCAGTCTGTCGCCAATCCGCCTCCTTTCTGGACACACCCGCGGCCCATCCCCTTTGAGCAGAGCCACCAACGCGATTCCCAATGATTGACACATCCCTTTTTGCGCAGTTTGTTGTGAGGGGGCAGGCCCGGACTGGCCATCGGGCACACCGGGCAAAAGCCCGGTGGGCCGCGGTGGCCATGTGCCGAGGCCGGCAGGGGAGGTCTCAGGATCTCCCCTGCCGGTCTATGCAGGGCCGGCACTCTCCTAGCGCCGGCCCCGCTGTTTGCCATGACGGGCCGGTGGGGAGATCAAGGATCTCCCTGACCGGCCCACATGCGGCCGCCGGCGGGGAGGGAGGGAGCCAGCCAGCCAGGCTGGAGAGAGGACCCGGCGGAGCTCTAACTTGCAGCTCCGCCGGGTTCCTCTCGCGAGATCCGGCGCGTTGCCATGGCAACAACCGGATCTCGCGAGAGTGAACTCTAGCCTCACAGGCTAGAGTTCACTCACCCACGAGGACCACCAGGGAACACCGCCTCCCAGTCCCAGCGTGCCGGACCCCCCCCCTCCCAGGCTAAAGGTAAGAAGGGAGGGGGGGGAAATAATGACTGTTTTTTTTTTATTTACCCCCCCTACACACACACACACACAATAACATTTATACAGCACTCTCACACCCATCACACACAGCACTCTCTCACACAGCACTCTCTCACACCCATCACACACAGCACTCTCTCACACAGCACTCTCACACCCATCACACACAGCACTCTCTCACACCACTCTCACACCCAGCACTCTCTCACCCATCACACACAGCACTCTCACACCATCACACACAGCACACTCTCACAGAGCACTCACACACACAGCACTCTCACACCCATCACACACAGCACTCACACACACACAGCACTCTCTCACAGCACTCTCACAGAGCACTCTCTCACACCCATCTCACTCACTCACACACGGCACTCTCACACACATCACACACACCGCACCCTCACACACACACATACTGCACCCCTCACATACACACAGAACCCCCCCAACACACTGCACCACACACATACACAATACTTCCAAATATATATATATATATATATACACACACACACACACTACACTCTTAAAGGACCACTCTAGCCACCCAGACCACTTCAGCTTAATGAAGTGGTCTTGGTGCCAGGTCCTTCTAGGGTTAACCCATTGTTTTATAAACATAGCAGTTTCAGAGAAACTGCTATGTTTATCAATGGGTTAAGCCTTCCCCCAAAGCCTCTAGCAGCTGTCTCATTGACAGCCGCTAGAGGCGCTTGCGTGCTTTTCACTGTGAAAATCACAGTGAGAGCACGCAAGCGTCCATAGGAAAGCATTATAAATGCTTTCCTATGCGACCGGCTGAATGCGCGCGCAGCTCTTGCCGCGCGTGCGCATTCAGCCGACGGGGCGGATCGGAGGAGGAGAGCTCCCCGCCCGGCGCTGGAAAAAGGTAAGTTTTAACCCCTTTCCAGAGCCGGGCGGGAGGGGGTCCCTGAGCCACATATGCATCACATTACACCACAAACACAACACGACTAAAACCGACCTTATTACACAATACCACACCACGACCAGCTCACTCTACACACACGCAATACCACAAGCAGGCTCCAAACACATGCACAATACTCTTTCCTGGCCTTTTGTCTCCTGGTATCCATTTATAGAGACACCAGAGACAAGTTGCAAGGAAACACAGTGCAAGCATGTTATTAAATTTGCTTGCACTGTGCAGAACAAATACAGGACTTTTTTCTCATGCTAGAGCTCTTCAGCAGAGCTCTGCGCATGGTCTGCCCTGGAAGAGCATTGAACCAACATGCTCA